TCTGAAATAAACAGCAGGATTTTTCCTTGGATATTTTAGATAAAGGTACTGGTGATACTGGTCTAGAGATATAAAAATAACTGGTATAGATTTCTGAAGATGTCTCATTTTCCATCTTACTCTATTCTTTTTTTAAAAATGTCACAAATGCTTTGGAAATAGGAGAACAGGATGTATGCCAGACGGCAGAGAGCAAAGCAGACTGTTAAGTTTACTTCTTAAAATTTTTAGAAGGTCTTAGTAGTTTTTTGGGCTCAGCTCTAAATTTTCACCTATAAACAGGTGAAAACATTTTCACCTATGTTCCAGTTTTAACTGGAAATATTTATATATGTATAAAATACATGTATACATATATGTATACATATGTATTAGAATATTATTAGAAAATTGTTTTTAATACTTTTTAAAAGCCTAGCCCTCAACCTAAACCTCTCTCTCTCACACACACACAAACATACGTAGAAGGCTTCTTTACACATCTCTACACGCACCACTATGTGTATATTTGCATTTAGAAATTTTCAAAAGACAGTCAGATAGTGTCAAAAAGTTTAAAAGGACATAGCCACAATAGGCAGCCCCCACAAGGACCACGAGCTTCTGTTTACATAAAGTAGCAAAACAAACCCATGAACCTTGTGAACACTTAAAAAATTTACTGGTTGTGCCAAAGTTGACAGAAATAAAGACATGAGGTTCTGTTTAAGAGAGGGGAAATAGAGTTTTGTTCTCCAAAAGTACTCTCCTTGCCTATGATATGCATTAATAGTTTGGGTTCGATTTTAGAGCAACCTCTAAACAGAAAAGTCAACTTATGGCTCATGTCAGGAGTCAGAATTGAAGAAAATGAAAAGAACGAACAGTAGAGAGGAAAAGGTAAAAGGCATTACAAAAAACATTACACTCCTTGGTAAATCTCAGGCAGAAGGAAATAATTATAATTTACACCATTTGGAAGTTTAAGTATCTTATTTTATCAAAGTATGCCCATTCCTAGGAACCAC